GTCCACCCCCCTGCTCAGGCAGGAAACCCTACACCATTTCGGACAAATGGCTGTCCAGTCTCTTCTTAAAAACTTCCAGTGTTGGAGCATTTACTGCTTCTGGAGGCAGGCTGTTCCACTGATTAATTGTTCTCACTGTCAGGAAGTTTCTCCTTAGTTCTAGTTTGCTTCTCTCCTTGATTAGTTTCCACCCGTTGCTTCTTGTCCTGCCTTCAGGTGCTTTGGAAAATAGCTTAATTCCCTCTTCTTTATGGCAGCCCCTGAGATATTGGAATACTGCTATCATGTCCCCCCTTGTCCTTCTCTTCGTTAAACTAGACATACCAATTCTAGCAACCGTTCCTTATATGTTTTAGCCTCCAGTCCCCTAATCATCTTTGTTGCTCTTCTCTGTACTCTTTCTAGAGTCTCAACATCTTTTTTACATCGTGGTGACCAAAACTGGATGCAGTATTCCAAGTGTGGCCTTACCAAGGCATTGAAGAGTGGTATTAATACTTCACGTGATCTTGATTCTATCCCTCTGTTAATGCAGCCTAGCACTGTGTTGGCCTTTTTGGCAGCTGCAGCACACTGCTGGCTCATATTTAAGTGATTGTCTACTAGGACTCCGAGGTCCCTCTCACAGTTACTACTATTGAGCATGGTGCCACCTATGCTGTACTTGTGCATTTGGTTTTTCTTGCCTAAATGTAGAACCTTGCTTTTTTCACCATTGAATTGCATTTTGTTAGTTAGTGCCCAGTGTTCAAGTCTGTCCAGATCCTTCTGTATCTGAAGCCTGTCTTCTGGAGTGTTGGCTATTCCTGCCAGCTTGGTGTCATCTGCAAATTTGATGAGTTCCCCATCTATCCCTTCATCCAAATCGTTGATGAAGATGTTGTAGAGTACTGGGCCCAGAACAGAGCCCTGGGGCACCCCACTACACACTTCCCTCCATAGAGATGCAGTTCCATTGAGGACCACTCGCTGAGTACGGCCGGTCAGCCAGCTACGGATCCATCTGGTGGTGGTTCTGTCTACCCCACATTTTTCTATCTTGTCAAGTAGTAGGTTGTGATCTACTTTATCAAATGCCTTACTGAAGTCCAAGTAAATTATGTCCACAGCATTCCTCTGATCCACTAATTTTGTCACTTGGTCAGAGAATGCAATAAGATTTGTCTGGCATGATCTATTTTTGACAAACCCATGTTGGCTTTTAGTAATGACTTTGTTTGCCTCTAGGTGTTCGTTGATTCGTTGTTTGATTATCTTTTCCAGGATCTTCCCAGGTATTGAGGTCAGGCTGATAGGTCTGTAATTTCCTGGATCCATTTTTTTTTCCTTTTTTGAGGATGGGAACTACATCAGCTTTTTTCCAGTCCTCTGGTAGTTCCCCTGTGTTCCAGGATCTTTGAAAAATATAGTTCAGTGGCTCCGATATCACATCTGCCAGTTCCTTGAGAACTCTGGGGTGTAATCCATCTGGTCCTGAGCAAGTTATCAGGACCAGTTTGCTTACCCTGCCCTTTTAAATCACCTAGTGCTATAAATCCCACCACTGTTTTTTACCCCTTCCTCTGAAATTAACAATGAACCTTACACAGCATGGGTCCCCAACCTCTGGTCCGCAGCCCAGTGCCAAGTCATGGCCTGTTCGGAACCAGGGCGCAGAAGTGGTGAACGTGAGTGCATACGTGCGTGAAACTGCATTTGTAAAGTCAGTGCACGCAACCATCCCCCTCTCTGCCATCCCCCTGCCAGTCCACTGTGCTAGAAAGGTTGGGGACCACTGTGTAAGATTATTTTGTGAACATTGAGGACTACAACTCATGGCAGCTTTGCCAACATAACCAGTGGAGAGAGATGGAGAGTATTTATAATTCAGCAACATCTGTGAAATCTCAGGTTCTCTGCCTTCATTTAAACCAGTGTTTCCCGATCATGGTAATTTGTAGATGTGTGGACTTTAAGACCCAGAATTCTCAGAAACAATTATTTTGTTGAGGAATTCTGGGATTGTTCAGGGCTGAGAAACTTTTATCTACACTGGCAAGAATCAGGGAAAATAGCCCTTGTGTGTTCAAAGGCATCGAGTGATTTCACGTCATCCTAAACCATGCTTTGTTTCAATCATGGTTTCTGCAATAAGCCACAATTGGTATGTTCCAACTTACATGATTTTCTAAACAGAAAACAGGTTCCTCCCTCTGATATAGTCAGACATTGATCTGCTCTTAATAGGCAGACTGTGAGAACATACACTCGATGGATGCTTTTCTGGATCTTGTTCGCCTATAGGAAACCCATATGATTTAAAACAAAATTAGGCCAGTATGTCCCAGTCATTTTCTTCCAGGTCTCCAGAGTGTCTCCTGCACAGACTGTTGGACAGTATTTGCCCTCTAGCGTGTAAGAAATCCGGTGCTACAACAGTTGCCTGGGCATGTTCTTTCCTTAGCCTCTTTCTCTCTTTTACTGCAGTAAAGAGGCTTCCTGTTTCACTCAACAGGCCCACCGAAAAGGCCTCTCTCTGTGTTTGTTTGCAACAACTGAATGAGGCTGTTAGTAATTAAAGTACATGGACTTCCCAGAAAGTGGCTTAGACCGGATATCCTTCATCAAAATACCCTAGGCACCACTGCCTAAAAATAACTCCGGCAGAACAAAAACTAAACAAACATGAATGAGAAGAATCTCCCAGAGCTAAGCTGTACAAACTAACTTCCTGGGGCAGGGTGTGGCATAGAGGGTTCTGCTGGCCCAAGAACAGAAGCGAATTAAAGAAAGGCAGCATGACTTTGAAGGAGCTTCCCCCTGCAAAAAGCATGGGATGCCCCTTTGAGCCTTGTTTTGAGGAACCCCCAAGGTTCCCTAGAAAATAGTTTGAGAACTGCTGATCTGTACATGGCATGTGTCTTTTCATTTGGATAATTAGAAAAAACTTTCAGAAATCTACATGATCACTAGATGGCAGCAAAGAGGTTTTCCATTTCACTTTGTTGCCATCTAATGGTTGTCCAGATTTTTGCAGTCCAGATCTAGGAGGCTTAACCTTAATCATTTCTCTGTACAAGTTGTCCTTGTTTAGCAACCTTAAATGGGACTGGCAACTTGGTCATTAAATGAAGCTCTGATTGTGCTTATAATCTCACTTCTGTTTTCCTTTCCTTTACAGACTTGTGAAGAAAAATGTGAAGATTGGTTGTAAAGTTACTTTTCATCATTTTTGTAACTGATTGGTTGCTAAATGAGGACTTCCTGTATTGTGTACAAATGAGAGCCAAAGCAGAAACTCAGATCTGAATTAGGATCCTAGAGAGCATGATAGGAGAATGTTAGCTCTTATAACCAAAATCACCACATGTACATCACCCTGCTTCATGCAGTGTGGTGGTGGTGGTGGTGTGTGTGTGTGGGGGGGAAATCCATTTATTAAAATGAGAGTTTTTCTTGCAGTGCAGATACTAGAGGCAAGATGAGAACTCATTTAGATCAGGTGTGGAACCATGAACAGAGTGTTAAAGCTTTGCCATCTGGAGTAGGTCCCTTGTGTCTACTATTGCTTACAGACAGGGCTTTTGCTTAGATGTTATAAAGTTACAGTACTGTATGTAATAACCATTTTCCTCTTCATCTTTTTTTTTTTCATTTTTGAATTGGATGCTGAATCACACTGTTTTTTAAATCAGGACCCAAACCTGATTTTGTGGTTGGTACACATTTTGATCCATGTTTCTGTGTGCCTGACAATTACTGATAGCCTCGATTGTGAATTATGACAGTGAAAAACTATTCTATCCTATTACTGCATTAAGGAAGAATATTTCTGTTATCGTGGATCAGTCACCAGATTGCACTGAGATGCCAAGGTCTTTCTTGATCCCTTTACATCGATTAACGTATGAATTGCCATGGTGGAGCATGAAATACTAATGCTTTCTGCACCTGACCTTGATGCTACCAGCATTAGTTATACAACAGGTTGGGAACGGTGGGTAAGAGAGAAATTACCTTGGAGAAATCACCAGCAAAATGAATGGAGACAGACAAGTTGCCAGAAGCAGAAAAAAAGGGCAGGATGAGAATTTTCACCCAGGAAATTTGCTTTTGTGTACAATTATTAATGCAGGATCTCTGTTCTTTGCATCCTTGGAAAGACAAAATTAGGGAAGGAATTCGAATACTTTTTTCGTTTTCTTTCTTTGGTGTACTTGGGATGAATAACCAATGCACATACTGACCCAGACACCTGAGTACAGTCAAAAGTGGTTCAGGCCTTGTTTTTGTACATATTCTCCCCATGTAGGTCAAACAATCCTTGTGAATAACAATGTGTTCTGCATACATCTACTAAAATGTTCCACCTACTTCAAAAGGGCTTAGTCCTAAATTAGTCTGTTTTGTTGTACTCATCTAACCTAGTTGTAGATAAGGTTTTGCAATGTGGGCTGCCTTATGCAGACTAGTTCTTTCAATCTTGCATAGGAAAAAGGAAATCATCGCTTATTTAAAACATTGTAAAAGTTCCATATTTGCAAATATGGAAGATCATTGTGTGTTGGCAGCTTTTTTTCCCTCCATGGGGTTTGTGCATTGCCTGTAACTGCTCCCCACCACATTACTGTATTCGTGCATTTGAAACCTACCACAAAAATGATAAGATGTGTCCAAATAACAAATGCACTGCTTATCTGTGATACACTACCTTAATTAGTGTATTCTTGTTGACCAATTAGGTATGTGTCCTGGAATATGTGAACAGGCTGAGCACATTCAGAAATTTAGCAATGGCTTGTTTCTACACCTTTTTACTTCTCTACTAGGATAACCTTAATTATACAAGTCATGTTGGGCTAAAAGCTCAGAAGCAAGTTACTCACTGGTGAACTTTTAGGATATCTATTTAAGATAGAGGAGAAAGTTCTCCCTTAATAACTAAAAGTCGATATGAATGTTATTCCATCATGAAACCAGTTTGTATAGCTTGGAAAGGCAGCAACTGCGTTTATTATTGTGCTGTTTCCTTCTATGCTCCAAGCATCTGTAAGAGAAAAGAATAGAAGAAGGACACATTTATCAGAGAAAGTATACCAGGGGACATTCTATAGGCCCATTCTGCCACCTGAAAAATACATAGGATAAATTGTTTGCCGTGTTGAGGGTGTGTACAAACACTTTCTTTGCTCTCCCTATGTTATTGTGCTTCAGAGGTTGTAAGATTTGTGGGAGACGATCAAAAACAGTCTTAGGAAAAATCTAGGACCACATCCATTTAATATACTAAGCTGCAAGACCAGGACCTTTTTTAGAAGAACAAAAGCCCACCTGTGCAATTACAGCCTAAGTAATTCTTGCAGTTTGGCAGATAAAAAGATTTGTCCTTTCCTGGAAAGCGAGTTCCTTCTGCTGCTCCCAGAGCTCCTTGTGTATTGCCAAGAAGTGGGGTTGCTAGGAAGAGAGAAATGGCCCTGCACTGTCTATTCTAAGGGAAAGTGCAGTACTATCAGTGCAGCTAGCATTACTTTCCTAGGCCAACCTACCTACTGTATCTGGCCTGCAAAGTTCTGAATGCCCACAAGATGGCAGTAAAGAATTGGCTTTCCCTATGCTGTCATCAAGTGGATGTCTAGAGCTATGCAACTCAGATGCAATAAGACCTAAAAAGTTTGTGTGCATCAGCCTCCCCCCCCCCCAACACAAACACACCACCCAATATATAAATAGCAGTCTGGCAACTGGGAACCTAAGGAGGTTACAGTGTTTCAAAAGAGCTGAGACAATGTACTACAGGTAGTCCTCGACTTACCACAGTTTCATTAAATGACTGTTCGAAGTCACAACGGCACTGAAAAAAGTGACTTATGACCCTTTTTCACAGTTACGACCTTTGAAGCATCCCCATGATCATGTGATCAAAATTCAGATGCTTGGCAACTGGTTCATACTTATGACCGTTGCTGTATCCCAAGATCATGTGATCCCTTTTGCGACCTTCTGACAAGCAGAGTCAATGGGGGGGGGAGCCAAATTCACTTAGCAACCATGTTACTAACTTATCAACTGCAGTGATTCGCTTAACAAATGTGGCAAGAAAGGTCCTAAAGTGGGGCAAAACTCACATAACAAATGTCTCACCTAATGACAAAAATTTGGGGCCCAGTGGTGGTACTCCTGTATAAGAGTAGAAGATTAATAAAACCAGAAAGACAGTGTTTTCTTGGGGCTGGGCGTGGGGTGAGTAAGAGAAGAATAGGTGCCCGCAAACCATGGCTTTCAAAAGAACATTTTCCTCTGTGTCTCTACACTCAAAATAAAAGTTACGAAGCGCAGGGGCAGCGCTGCAGATGTGTGGGTTTGTGGCCTACGCGTCTTACGGTTTTGCACTACAACGGGCTACAAAAATAAAGTGTTAAAATGCAAGTAGAATGATTGTGAGCATGACTAATGCTTTCATAGGATGTACCCCACAGGAGAAGTAGTCTTTCACAGTTTCTATAACCCCCCCCCCAATATGTGCAACTACACATCCCTTTGCCCCCCATCTTGGGCAGCTAGGAATGATGGGTGGTGTAGTTCAGTCAGTGCATTTAAAGGGCGCCTAATCAGAGAAGTCTTAGATCGAACACGGTGAATAAATCTCGCAGGCTTCTATTTTCCTTCCCCTTCCCAGGCAAAACTTCTGTTACACCCAAAACAATGAAAAAGGAACAGGGGTTGGGCTGCATTTTGGCCACCTTAAAAAAAGGCTACAGTACAGTGTTTCTCAACCTTGACAATTTTAAGGCATGTGAACTTCAACTCCCAGAATTCCACAACCAGCATTGCTGGCTGTGGAATTCTGGGAGTTGAAATCCACATGCCTTAAAATTGCCAAGGTTGAGAAACACTGCTATAGTACATGTAATGCCCAAAAGGCAGAAAATCTTGTTCCAGAATTAAAACTGAAGCTTTTCTTTCATGATTTGTGACTTAGCATCCAGGGGAAAAAAGGGGGGTGGGGGTCCTTTACGTGGTGGTGGCAGGGAACCATATTATCTCCTCCAAATATACAAATGATACTTGGATGCTTTTTCTTTCTTCCATCTCTTTCGAGGGAACTAGGGTTAATTTCTGAGTAACCTGCAACTGGATCGGGAAGGGTGAGGGGCTCTCCTTTAATTTTCAGCTGTCTGGCATGATCGAAATGCTTAGGTAAATAAGCATTTTGTTACAGGAACTAATTTATGCCAATTAAATATGACAAGTGTGTTTTTTTGGGTATTAGAAGGTTAGTTCTTAGACATTCTGAGAAGGATTCGCTGCCTGACTCTCCTAGGAATGATCAGGAAACCAATTCTCAAATACAGGATGTATGCCTCTCTCTGTGTTCAGTCTAAACCAGGGGTAGGCAACCTCAGCTCTTTTATGACTCATGGACTTCAACTCCCAGAATTCCTGAGTCAGCTGACTCAGGAATTCTGGGAGTTGAAGTCCATGAGTCATAAAAGAGCCGAGGTTGCCTACCCCTGATCTAAACCCATAGGTCAAGCCCAGCAGCCGTTTGTTCCCATAACAAGGCTGGTTTGAACATATGTCCTTCTATATATTGAGGGGCACGCTGAAAGTAGGAGGAGGCTGATGGGTTTCTATAGGATCTAAGTCATTTTAGAGATTATAAAAGACTGTACAGGTAGTCCCCGATTTACAACCATTCATTTAGTACCGTTTGAAGTTACAACGGCACTGAAAAAGTGACTTATGACCGTTGTTCACCCTACTGCAGCATCCCCGTGGTCACATGATCAAAATTTGGATGCTTGGCCATTGGCTCATATTTAAGACAGTTGCAGTGTCCCAAGGTCAAATGATCACCTTTTGTGACCTTCTGATAGGCAAGAATCAATGGGGGAAGCCAGATTCACTTAACAACCGTGTTACTAACTTAATAACTGCAGTGATTCGCTTAACCAGCTGTGGCAAAAAAGTTCGTAAAATGGGGCAAAACTCAATTAACAACTGCCTTGCTTAGCCACAGACATTTTGGGCTCAATTATGGTCGTAAGTCAAGGACTACTTGTGATTTCCTTTCTTTCTTCTTGGTCTTCCTGCTTCCTTCATCAAAGATGATCCTTACATACCAGCAAAGTCAGCGGAGTTCTGTGGTCTTCTTGTGTTCCTCTTCCCGGTGGATCGAATTGTGGAGATGGTATGTTCAAGCTCACGATTGGAGCTAAAAAAAAAAAGAGGAGGAGGATTTGAAAGAACAGAGTTGTAGTTGACCCTGAGAGCAGAATAGAGTTACTGGATGGCCGTGGTATGGGGAAATGGTAGATATAAGATACTTATTCCCATGACTTGTCTATGTAATATGGGAGCTTGTGTGAAAGGATTTCCTTTCCATAAATAGAAAAAAGTGCTTCTGTTTCTTCTTTCTGTTGAAGAGGAATTATAGTCTTCGGTTATAAAGTTTAGGCTAGAGTACCATTCCTGGCAAATATTGTTTCATTTTATGCTAAGTAATTTTAGCCAATCCAGAACTGGAAGAAGAGAGGCTCTATCAGCCAGAAATCAGTCTTTCAAAGTTTATATCTAACTCACAATCTGGAGATCACCCATATTTAACATTAAAGCAATCTTGTAAAGCACAAGTTCCTCTATAATTTTCCAAAACCCTTGATTAGGACCAATTTAAAACATGGCAAACCATGAATGCTTTTGAGACCTTCAGGACTTTTTCTCAGGCTAGATCTGAAGCAATGTAGAGTGGGAAAGGGGAAAAAAAAGATATTTCAAATGCATAGCATGTCAAGTCTTCTGCACTGATTTAAACAGCCAGTCCTACCTAGTAACATCTGAATATGATGAGAATACCACATCTGGCATTTTCCACTCAAGACCTTTCTGGTGTTGCCGAACTGAAGTGTGGATGGCTGATATAAACCCTGTTTCTTGTTGGAGAGCAAGAAACAATTTCCAGATTCTTCCTAAATTTCTGGTTACTATCCATATCAGTTGTTTGTCAACATAGGAAGCAAGACAGATGGGTTGGGGTGTTTTTTTTGTTTTGTTTTTTTTTGCAAGGTGGCATTTTTTCCCACAGATTTGGCATAGAATTTCGATTGGCAAGAACTCAAACAAAGCAGTGTGTAACAAAGTTGTTATCACCGGGTTGCATGTTGTCATTCTGAAACCAGCCTTGACAATTATGCCGGTTTTTGCTTATAGAAGGCAGACCACAGGAGAGGGCAATATGAGATGTACACAAGAGCTGGGAAGACCCACATCATGAAAGAGAGAAAGAGGGGGTGAGACAGTGTAGCTAATATTAAAAACATAACATTACTGAAAAGCACATTCCTCCAACTTTTATTTTCTCTATGTACATGCCTACCTGTTTCAGATTTGGACCAGATATTCAGATAGTCAACAGTTTGATCTAGTTGTGTTACAGACTTTCATTAAGGGATCTTTGAAATGCACAAATGAAGAGGACCACGACTCCTTCCACTGTTCCCTTGTCAGTCATCCATTCGAGCAAGGAGTTCTGTAGCTTTTCTTTGAGTAGGTATACAGTAGGTCATGAATTGGAGGCAGCATAAAACCATTCTTTGCTGATTTATGTATGTTATGCCCAAGCAAGACTAAATGTGCATGTACGAGCTACAGGACTTTATAGCACCCCCAGTTTCTTCTTTCCTGTGCCTGACCTCCTTGCACTGATGAAGAAAACTTGAAGTTAGTATCCTAGGATTTCAGATGAGATCCCCATTCAAGGATGGGATCTTGCTTTATCAAGCTCCTGAGTTAGCTGGCCTTTTGCAGTATTTGTATCTAAATATGCGTAAGTAAAGGGCCTTTCAGATCTCCTTACTCAAACTGGTGGAGGTGAAAGATGGAAGAGACAGGATCCTGTCCTCTGCCATATGACACATTCTTAAATGTTTTACTTGAGAACTAAATAAAAACCTCCACTTTGAGAATATATGTTGTTCAATATTGTAGAACATTTGATTGAGTTTAAATTGTGCTAACAGGAACCCAGTTAATTGAGGAAGACATATATTTCGTGTCACCAACAGTAGATTGTTTTTCAAACTCTAGTGTTTAATGAGATCTTGATGGGGTTCCATGGCCAAAACAACAACAACAACAACACAAAAAAACCCTTCATTTTCTGGGACATCCATAGCAAATTTTCTAAGATTCAGAAAGGACAGAGAAGGTAGAGATTCAGAAAGGATAGCAGAAAGGATAGAGATTTTTCTTCTGCAAATATGCTACAGCTACCACTTTATAGATCAGAGGTTCTGGATTTTGTTTGGCTTTGTTTTGTTTTAACTAACAGGTTCCACAGCTTTGGGAAGAAAAGGGGAAACCCCTGGGTTTAAGGTAAGAAGGGAGTCATTCATGTATTCAAATGCATGTGATACGGGAATCTCAGTTGTCCAGGAAGCTACTTTCTGCCTTCTTCCCCTCCTTATAACAGTCTGTTGCTCCAAGAATGTTTCTGGATCTACCTTTGGGATATTATTTCTGTATAACTTTTCTATTAAAGGCCTGAAGGGAAAGGGATGGAAGGCCTTATTTGTTTGCTACCTTCCTCCTGCCTGCAGCCTTGTTGAGGTCCATGGAGATTCTACTGGCTGCACCACTGGATTTCAGTTCCATGGTGTTCTGAGGGAGGAAACGCTTGATACCTTAAAATAGTTCTTACAGTTTAAAAAAAGGAGAAGGAAAACCTAACTACCCCCCTCCCCAAGACAGAAAACAGAAAGTTCTGACTGTATCTAAATATAGGATACTGCCGCATCCATTCTACATCATTACCTTACCCACTATGGACCTCATTAACTGCAACTCCCTGCAAAATGCTCATGGCTGTCTTAAACAATTGAGCAACTTGCAAGAAAGCAGACATACACACACGCACACAGAGCCAGAACCAAATCAAATACATGTAAAATGAGAAATGCGTCATAGCAATAAAAACAACACTAGCTGAATTGTAAAATAATAATCAGCGGCACGGGGGATCTTAAACTGCATACATTCCAGTCAGTAGCAGAATTAAAATTATAAATCTTAAACCACCCATAAAAAGTTAGCTGTGATTAAAGCAACAGCAATATGGAAATTTTTACCAGCTTCTGAAGGATGGGAGAGAGAGAGGGAGTCTGGGATGTTTCCAACACTTGTTTAGTATCACTGTCGAGAAACTGTGATCTCTTGAACCCATTAAGCCAACCCCACAAAGGAATAAGACAGACATTGGGGGGCTCTTGGAAAGGAGTCTCAGCCTGGACTGATGGAATGCAGGGAAATCTGGTCGGAGAATGAGAAATATTCAGTGTTCCTCTCCACTCTCCCTTCAGAACCTCTATCTCCTTCTTTGTGCATAAAGGGAATTTAATTCAACCATGCATTAAAAACATGGCTGCTGCTTTAGGATATTACAACTTACCTGCTTGCATAACATAAAGAAGCTTGAGCTGCTCTGTTAGCAACATCTTTCAAAGTCAAACTCTGGAGTGTTTTGGCACTTGTAGGGCAATGATGGGAAGCAATTAGAGGGTAGATTGCTAACTTTTCATTGACTTAACCATCTTGGTCTTTGTTGGAATCTTTATTACTTCCCCCTCCCCCATTGTTTTTTTTTTCTTTTTCATTTTTTCTGTTCGCCTGTCAATCTGGTTTCAAAACAGGGTTGGCCTCTTTCTACTGCACTTGGCAGGAGAGGGCAGGCGGACAGCGGGATGATCCATATCGGTCAGGAAATTAACTTGCGTCAGTTTCCCTTGTGCCTGAGACAGCTGACGGCATCACTCTGCTGGTTTTTGACAGCTTTATGCTCCATCAGCTTTCGTCTGTTATAGACAGGAAGATGCAGCAATGTTGGGAAGACTGATGCTGAAAGAGCCTTCTAAGTGGTTGAGGGACTAAAAGCTGAGCAGAATGGAATTCTGTTTGAAGACTGGGTGGACCCCTTGACAGCACTGCATTTGGAAAGGTTGCAAACTGGGGAATTACGTCCAAAGCATTTCATAGGCAATGTTTCAATATCTTGATCGTAGAGACATCACAGAAAAGATTAGACTTGGATTTTTGCAAAAGTAGTTACGGGTAGTCCTCAGCTTACGACGACACTTGAGCCCCAAATCTCTGCTGCCAAGTAAGGCATTGGTTAAGTGAGTTTGTTGTTAAGTGAATCTGAGTTCCCCCATTGACTTTGCTTGTCGGAAGGTCGCAAAAGATGGTCACATGACCCCAGGGCACTGCAATCATTCATAGATATGACTCAGTTGCCAAGGGTCTGACTGTGGGTGTGCCGCAATGATCGTCAGCGTGAAAAATGGTCATAAGTCACTTTTTTCAGTGATCTTGTAACTTTGAACGGTCAGTAAATTAACTGTTGTAAGTCGAGGACTATCTGTATTATGTTTACTAAGGAGTTCACAAAAATATATTTATTTGAACAAGGCTTTAAAAATAGTCCTCTATGAGAAATCTGTTTTGTGAGAAATCTGTTTTGTGTGCTCTCCAATCCAAGAAACTCTTCGATCACAATTGAAAACTGACATCATTATTTATCACCACGATAAGGTAAGAAACATGTAGAAACAGTGGTACAAGCCCTTAAAATTGCCTCTTCTGTGGTTTGATAATCAAGGTTAAAAAACAACAACACAAGTTTCTTTAAAATTAAATTGGACCCTTGGTAACAGCATGAACATGTCTATGTAGTGGTTTTGGCCACAGTACAAAACTGGTGTGACATTACTTTCTTTCCAGATGTTTTTGACTTCCTGGGCTAGACTATGCTCAGAGATATCTGCTGGTCTCCTATCCAAGTATTAACCAGGTCTGACTTTGCTTAGCCCTCTGGGAAAAAAAAAACACAACAGGCCGAAAATCCTAGCTTCTCCATAAGCATGATGTGGTCCGGTCCACTTTGCTCTCATTCATTGCTGTCGTCAGCCTCCCATAGGTTAAATATGGCTGCTGAGCACCCAAAAGTCATTCATTCTTTTTGTAGCTCAAGATATGCAAATCAGTGGAAATGGTGATTTGTTGAGATTGATCGGTGCTTTTCCATGTCCTGTCTTTTTCCATGAAGGTTTTTTTTCCCCTCCCTAGCTGCTTTCCATATGGGAGTCCTGGCTTGGAGGTGGGGGAGATTTGGGGAGTAAAGGGTTAATGCATGGAAATGATGGGTGGCAGTAAGCATTTGCCACCCCTGATCTCTCCTCTGCAAATGATCTTTTGCGGGCAGCAGACATCACAATGCCACTATTAGGAAAGGGAGATTCTCTTTCCAGCACCATAATGCCTTCACCAGCACCCATCTGGAGACCCTGGTTCCCCTGAATGATAGGCAAGAAAGAAGTTAATGGATGATTTTTTTTTTTTTTTTTTAGTAACCAAATCTCTTAATGAAGAACATTTTCTCAGTAGCCTATTACACCTTTGAAAGAGTTTGGGCCTGGGATTCCAAAATGGGATATTCTGAATTCTGAGAGTAGAAGTTTTGACACTTTAAAATTACCAAGGTTGAGAAACACTGCCATATACTAATCCTTCTTGTGCATCATTTTTAAATAAATGATGTTAGTCAGAGCAGAAGGAATTGGAAATCACAAAATCCTTGTATTTCTAAGGTGGCATTGTTGCTCATCTCTTGATAGTGGTTTTTACAGATGTTTCTATTTCTATTTTACATGTTGCTTCTTTGGGGAACATTAGGATTTAGCTTTTTTTTTTTTAATCGGGAGGGGTACTCCTGTCCCTGCTTGGCTAAGGATGTACTGTAAATAAACCAACGGGAAATTAAAGGTTTGCTTGGGAGCAACTGTGTGTGCAAAGGTGAGAGAAAGAAGGGGATATCCTGTATTTGCAATGTGGAGGGTGCTAAAATGAGGTCAAGAAGTTTGTAGTTCAGCTCATTGTGGGAAGCCAACTGTAATCAGCATGATGTTTTAATGGGGTCATCGTGTGCAGATGTTGCAGCACAGGCACACAGAAATTGTGTGTTGTTTTAAGCATGTTGGGTGAATCTATCCGTTTGGCAGGCTGGTCAGGCTGAGTTGGCTAGGAGAGCAAAAGAAATCATTTCCAATTATGTGCTACAGATTTTAAAAACACACAGATGAGGAAGACATTTCCTTCTGAGCTGCGCCCACTTCAGGTTGAAACATTATCCAGACTCTTTCAGGGACCAGACATCGCGTACAGGGCCAGGTTTTGTATGATAAAACATAGGAGTCTTTAAAACTTTCAGACCTGACATCTATCTTTATCCCCCAAGAGAACTCTCTGTGCCCGATCATGCTCTCTTTGCCTTAAAAAGAAAATGAAAAGATAAGAATGACTGTAGCCTCACAAATCCCACTATAGTTGTGAACCAGTTTGGAAGAATCAGTTTCAAGAGTACAGAATGATGGCAACCTAGGCCTGGTTTGGGAAGATCTTTCTGGGATTTGCAGGGGATCAACAAGGATTTCTGACCCACAGCAACAAAAGTGTGTTCCCACACGTTGCATGACACTGTTGGAAAAACAAGTATGGAAAGCCGTGGGAAGGATAGGACATAAAAGTGAATGCTTCTACATATGGAGTGATTATTTGTTACATATTGTCTAATCACAGGATTCCATGCAGTTTTCCTCAGTAAGATATACGCTAAAAATAACCCAAGGAGCATCACCAGAGCCAACATAATACTCCAAATAAAACTCATATCATCAAAGCCACTGGTCCCCAACCTTTGTGGCTTGGGGGCTTGATGGGGGGGAGGGGAACTGGGCCATGTGAGTGGTGGGCTGGCATGCAAATGCACAGCTCAACTTACACAACTTGAGCTGCACGTGTGTATGTGCACATGCACTGGCCCACTGCTTGCATGGTCCAGTTGTGAAATAGGCCATGGCCTGGTGGTGGGCTGCAACCTGGGGTTAAGGACCCCTGATCTAATCCTATAAAGCAAAACAGAAAACTAAAACCACAGCAAAAAGTGAGCCAACGGACTATTAGAAAGATAAATGTCTGATTAAGAAAAAGTCCTATAACTCTATAGTTACATTCTTATAAGCAGCTTGAAAGGGGCTACAACAACAACAACAAAATAATAATGATAATAAAGTTGGAAGGGACCTTGGAGGTCATCTAGTCCAACCGCCTGCTCAGGCAGGAAACCCTATACCATTTCAGACAAATGGCTGTCCAATCTCTTCTTAAAAACTTCCAGTGTTAGAGCACTCACTGCTTCTGGAGGCAGGTTGTTCCACTGGTTAATTGTTCTAACTGTCAGGCAGTTTCTCCTTAGTTCTAGGTTGCTTCTCTCCTTGGTTGGTTTCCACCAGTTGCTTCTTGTCCTGCCTTCAGGCACTTTGGAAAATAGCTTGACTCCCTCTTCTTTGTGGCAGCCCCTGAGATATTGGAACACTGCTCTCATGTCCCCCCTCATCCTTCTCTTCATTAAACTAGACATACCCAATTCCAGCAATCGTTTATACTTCAGTCTGTCTTGTACTGCCTCCAAAGATAGCTTCAGATCTATCTATTCATTATCATATAGATCTTGAGGAATGTTTGAATCTGGTCTATGCCAACCTAGATGCTCAGCTGGATTCAAAGTCTGCCCGCGTTAATGGAACAAATACGGATTATTTGTAATAACATTTCCCTTATACTGGTAGTTCTCTGTATCTATCTGTGCTTCCATGACCAGAAGACTAGAGAATCCTGCAGAACAGATTGGACTGGGTGGGTGAGGGGGATTCTGCACAGCAGATAAGAAGAGAGGAAAAGAAACTCCTGTGGCATGAGCAAAACTTCACTCATGTTATGATAGCTTATTTATTCATCAGCCCCAGGATTTGCTTTGAGAAGCAGTGGGCCTCCAAGATCTCAAATGAAATCTGCTATTTCAATTTTTTTTTACCACGAATGTTGTCCTTTTTTGTTTGCGAAATGCACCACAGGAATGATGCTTTTTGTTTTAATCATGCAGAACTTCACTTTCCATCTGGTAATTTATTTTATTGTCTTGTTCCTGGCAACAAAATGTTTTGTCTATTTGTGTGTGTGTGTGTGTGTGTGTGTATGTGTGTACATGTGCTTTATATTGCACCCCATTGGTTCCTTTTTCGTAGAACAAATTGGGCAATTACACAAAGTCCTTTAATTCCTTTCCGGAATTTTTTGAATGTTTCTCAATACAATGTTATGTGAAAGACAGGATTAGTTTACATACAGAAAAAAACAAATTCCAGCAAGAGGCAACTATTCAGGAGCTGGTACTCTTCCTACTTGGTTCTTGAAATAAATACTTGAGAGGAAATGGAAGTGTTGCAAATGAATTAATTAGAATGGATGAAATTATATTTTTATTGCATCAAGTGGTTGTTTTAAAAGCTTTTACGCTTTTCTGAAGCTTCTGCAATTGGCTGGCTCAATTTTGTTGCAGAGTTAACACAGACAAAAGAAAACAGCTTCTTAAAAATATTATACTAAATATTATTATGTATTTTTTGCATTTCTGAACTGTTTCCCTCAAAGAAGGGCTCTGGGCAATATACAATAAAACATCAAAACAGTATATAAAAATTCCTCAGTGAACTATCAAACAAAAGCAAAACATGATTTCAGCCCTCCACATGAAGACTAGGTCCATCTTTATGGAATATAAAGTGGAAGGGTGGGGGAAATACTGTCAAACTTTCACGATTCTTTACTAGAATCTATATCAGTGTTTGTCAAACTTGGCAATTTTAAGATGTGTGGATTTTAACTCCCAGAATTCCCTAGCCACCCTCCTAGCTGTGGAATTCTTGAAGTCCACAAATCTTAAAGTTGTCAAGTTTGAAAAACACTGGTCTATATTAATAAAGTATAGTTGCAGTATTACTTGTAAAGTCTGTTTCTTAACCTGGCCCACCTCTGACATATTAAATCCATAGTTCCTATGTATGATTGTTTAATGAATGAATAAGCACACAAATAAATATTTCTGAGACCAGCACTTTGGAATAATAGAGAATATTTGTTGACTTTATCTGAAATCTTGCGTATTTCAAAAGCGCTATCCTAGCCCATCCCCATCCCAGGTGTCTTTTCTCAAGGCTAAACTTTCTCACTTCCTGCAGTCAGTTTTCATAGGATCTAATTTGTAGTCCCCTGTTCACAGTTGTGGCCCTTTTCTGAACTTGATGAGTGACCAAATGCAGGAGATGACCAGGCTGAGCCCGAGGGAGGGGTCAAACGCATCATAAGTCATGAGTCCCTGCCTGCCTGCAAGAGATCTAAGTCCAGCCCATCTTGAATGTCTCTCTTATCTCCCGCTCATTTTCCTTGACTGGTAGTTGGCCAGATTTTTGTAGAGAGCTTAAGCTTGCAATAATTTTTTATACTCATCTGAACTGCCTGAATCTCCTGATTTCCCAGGCACTTGACACCATTGCTGAGCATAGTCCAAGAATAGTTTTTGAGTCAATTCGGTACCAATTTAATTTTCATGTTGCCCAGTGCATATTAAAGTAGATTGCTCATCAGAATGTTATTAGTATTTTATGACTATATAACATTTCCACAGTTTACTAAAGAAGTTATTACCTTAGAGCAGAGGTCCCCAACCTTTTGGGCACCAGGAACCCATCATGTGGAAAGAGGTTTTTCTGCGGACCGGCGGGTGCATGGTTTTCTGTGCTGCCTGCATCCTGCAGATGGGGCTTTGCTCGTTTGTGTGGCCCGGTTGCTGGTATGTCATGGCCCGGTACTGGTCCACGGACCGAGAGTTAAGGACCCCTGCCTTAGAGAATAAGAGGGTGTTGATGTGGCAAGACTTGTTTTTAGCAAATCTCTGCTGATTGCATTGTTTGCAGGATACAGATCACTTTTTAAATGATGTGCTCCAGACTTTTTACATAAATGGATGTCAGACTGACTAGAACCTCCTGGATCCTCTTTTTTTTTTTCCTCTTTACTGAAGATAGGGATTTTTATTTGTCTTTTTCCAATCATCTGACACATCATCCATTCTCCAAGATCTCTCAAGTTAATGCGTAAAGATTGGACGAGACTATTAAGGGTTACTTCAATACTCTTAAGATGCAAACCATCCGGCCTTGGAGATACAAACTCATTAAAATAAATCAACCGTCCCTCACCTCATTTTCAATCCAACTCCTTCACTCTGTACTTTACAATTCCCTAAAGGAACGCATGATGTCTTGCTGGAGGAGGCTGAGCCAAAATAGTTCTGTCTTTTACTTGTTAGTAGTTTGCCATTTGCACTGAGCAGCTGCTATACTGTGTTTTCCTATTCCTTTTCTGTTTTACATCCAAACATGCTATTGTATTGCTCTTTTTCCAACTTCAGTTTATTCTGAATACTAAGTACTCCTACTGTTTATCTCTAGAATTCTGAGCTACCTGTAGGTAATTCTTTTCTTGGGATCTGCTCTACTTTCCACCTCCTCTCTTTGTCTCCTTCTCCCTCTTTTCTTTCTCCACTTCGCTAATGCTTTTGTGTAGCCATGCTGGCAGCTCAGGGTGTTCTTCATTACTTTCCCCCCCCCCATGGGAATTGTTTGAAGTTGTGCTTTTATTATCTCCTTTTTCAAAAGAACATCCACTTATCCTGAGCTTCTCTTCTATTAGCTTCTCCCAACAGGGAATAATCCTTTTTAATCATTGTTCTGCATTTATTAAAGTCTCCTTTTTTGACATCCAAGATACACATTTGATTACACTCACTGTTTCTTTGCTTTCAAGAACTGGGGGGGGGTCACTTTCCCCCAATGTTTCTGTTACTCTCACTTTCTTAATGAAATCTTCCTTTCAGGAGAACAATGAGTTTGAGCCTCCCATGCCTTCCTCCATCCTCTGAAGGAGAAAGTTTTCAGTAAAGCAAATCATGAGTTTCCTGGAAGGATCACACTTGGCTGAGTTCATTTCTCAACAGATGTCAGTATAATTACTATCACAATTACTTCCTGCTCTTTGAAAGATCTGCAGTCTACTTTTGAGTAGCATGATCCACAGCAATAACAGAAACCAACAGAATATTCCTGTTATACATTCTTCTGCTTATTTTAATTCAAATGCTCTCTAAAATGCCACAATTGAACTGGAGGCGAATAATTTTAATATACAGCTCAATTCTTCACTCCTTTCTATTACTTTTGCTCCTTTGTGTAACCTGTTCTTCAGTTGCTAAATTACATTCACTCAGAATATGGGAAAGGATCCTGAAATGAACAATAACTCTGAAACGTGTAAGCTATTTTTCCCAATATTTCATTGAATGATTTAATAGGGGCATCAGTAGAACAATACTTCCATACTCCTTCACATTTACATCTGAGATCTTTACTTCAGGGTTTTTGCTTCCAAGCCCACTGGATTCCATTGAAAGCCTTCCTAATTGAGATGATTTTTTTTTCTGTTTATTTTGGTTTTTATGGTCATAATCCTTTCCTTTCCCCATCCTGTGTGAAATAAGCTACCATATAACTTAGGTGTTTCTAAATTGATATCCTGCAAATGTTGATTCTACTGAGGATTGTAATTTATTTGGGGTTTGTCAGAATTGCAAGCCAGCATTTATGGAGAGGATTTGGATTTAGGAATACCATCTTAGCTTATTTTAGGAAGGGAGGGAGGATATTTGCTTGGGGCATCTCATTTCAGTTGTAGAATACTTGAACACCATTTGACAGCCACAGTTTGAAGAGATGACGTACTGTACAAGAGTAATTGAGGATGGTAACCCACAGGCAAAGCGCTCTGATCCCTCAATGTCACTTCAGAGAGATGGCGTTTTTCCATTTACTATGTAGTCATCGGTTTTTGAATGAAGACATGTTGCACAAAAAGCCCTCAGCTTTGCTTTTTTATGCTCCTGTTTTATTCCCAGAAATTATTGCTGGTTACTGTAACCACTATAAATAATGGGGAGAATCCCCAGGATTGCTTCATTGAAATGTATATGCTTAGATTCACTTTGATTAAATAATGTGCACCATGGGGACAATCCTGTTTGTTACTGCAAAGCAGTTTGGATGGCCTCAAGCTGCTTTATGAGTGCTGTGGGAGAAGGCATCTCTTAACTATTTGGCTGAAACACTTAGGATTGTCTGCTGAGTATACTGGAGCTGATAGAATCAGAATACATTTAGTACATAAAGCTTTGGACTCCAATATAGGCAGCTTGGGCCTAGGCATGCACAATTGCATTTGGTGAACTGCCCAACTGGCAATTACTTTGGTGTATACCACGAAAACTTTTAGCTGTCTGTCATTTGATGCATATTAGCTGCAATCCTGCAACAGCTTCCCAAAGGCCCCCCCCCACTCTTGAAAAATGAGGGGACCAGGTTGCTTTGGGAAGCAGCTTTGAGGAGTGTTTCATCTGAACCTTCGTCAAAGCAAAGCACCCCTTCAAAGGTTTGCCAACCTTAATATTTACAGGCCTGTTGTCCCTTTGCCCCATGCAATTTGAATCAAGGCCATAAAAGTTCCTCCACTTTTAATGCAAGGAAAAAAGAACGGCTATTCCAAGTGGTGACGAGAAAGAGATCAGTGTTCTCCAACCACTCCTACAACTCCAGACAGCCTGGGCAAAAAGCAAGCTAGCCAGGAATTGTGTGAATTGTTTTTCCCAAACATACTAGTTTGGGAAATGCAACTAAAGAATGAGCACTTCCTGAATGTTACACACCGTCTGAAGAACTTGCTTGAGCATGTTTGTACTTCAAAGCCCTTCCTACTAAGGAACCTCTCGTCCATAACGGCGTGAAAAATTGCCTAATCTTGTTCGTAGAGTCCTTGGCGATTATCTGGTTCTAAGAAAGAAAAATGGTCTCCTTAGCTTTAAACAAAGGACAAGAGTGAAAATTAGAATTTTACTATTTGTTCCTTGAATGAAAAGCAGATTCACAGAAACAAAATTTTACAGGCGATATCCCTTTATCTAAGTGTGGCCTTAAAGAGCTGGGTGCACCCAGTAGCTGCTCTGGATGGGTCGCTGGGCTCCATTGTTTCATATCCTGATTGGCAAGAAGATTAGGAGAAGAGAAAGGAAAACTCTATCTGAATATGAACCCTAAGGTGTTTGTTGACAATCATATTCCTATAGACCATTGCTATAGACCAGGGGTCTGTAGACTGCCGGCCCGCAGACCAGACGGGTCACATGGAAGCCATGCCCACCCACTGCCAGCAATGGCAAAATCGGCCCGATACATTGAGCAACGTCACGTGACGTCGCGAGTTTGACATACCTGCTATAGACCAATATTTCACATTTATCATGGTTAGAATTTCACTTGTTGGGTGGGGGTAGGGGTAGAACCATGGGTCTTTAAACAGACATAATAATGCATATTTCCTAAATATTTTAAAACAAACTGGTTCCAGCTGACACACTGCTTTCTGATTCTTCATAGGTTTCCTTCTGAGTATTTTTTTTCTTTTTGCTGTTGCAAATCTTGATATATTACATTGTTCGATACAATGGTTTTGATACAAAATTAATTAAAATTATCGGCCTTCTCTTGTTTAGACATAAATAAAGAAAAGAGAAAGAAATATTCTATCTATGTTAATTACAATTTAGGATTTCAACATTATTTGCATAAATTATTTGATTTTTTTTTTCATCCACAGTTGAGTATGGCATTGGAAAAAAAGGAATGGCTGTAAATTGCATTAAAATATTTGTTATACGGTATACTTTGTTTTCAGTCTTGAGCTGATTACTTTGTGTTAAAATCTCCATTTTGTAAAGGTAGTCCTCAAGAAACAAATGTACGCACACATTTACACACACACATTTGCATTAATAAAAGGAAAATGTTAGTTAAAATACCAGAAACATACTTAAAAAGAAAAAGAGCTATTGAATCCCTAACATCTCCCTTTTTGTACATCTATTCCTGCTGAGAATTTTGACTAGGTCAAAATTGTGCAAAATAATCTACAGCAGGTCAGCAAGAGCAAATGAGTATGGTCTGGCCAGTAGTTCAACTTGATAATGAGTGATTCTCCATTCCTTCACTCTATTTTATAGAGAAAAGAGTGTTTTCTGTCTCAGAAACCACAATAACAAACCATTAAGTGGTTGGTTTTAAAAATGCAAATATAAGGAGCAAGTTTCCTAAATTGCATTTTTTCAATCCATGCCTTTGGGTTTTTACTTTTAAAACATTGAAAAATAGGACTTCATGCTTGCCACCCTTTGTGAAACAAAATTCTGCATATTATGATGCCTCTTCATTGTTGTCACTTAATTATAAGCATTTGATAAAGTAGATCACAACCTACTACTTGACAAGATAGAAAAATGTGGGGTAGACAGAACCACCACCAGAGGGATCCGTAGCTGGCTGACCGGCCGTACTCAGCGAGTGGTCCTCAATGGAACTGCATCTATATGGAGGGAAGTGTGTAGTGGGGTGCCCCAGGGCTCTGTTCTGGCCCAGTACTCTTCAACATCTTCATCAACGATTTGGATGAAGGGATAGATGGGGAACTCATCAAATTTGCAGATGACACCAAGCTGGCAGGAATAGCCAACACTCCAGAAGACAGGCTTCAGATACAGAAGGATCTGGACAGACTTGAACACTGGGCACTAACTAACAAAATGAAATTCAATGGGGAAAA